ACAATGCAAGATATATATGACTTATTGTTGAATTGTATACTTGAAACACTGGATTTCATTAACCAATGTCACTATAATAAAAAAATAACCTCAAAAAATAATTAATCTCATGTACAAGATCTACAAATATTTCCAACCTTAAGAGCTATTATCACTAATAATTTTGTTACTTTTTGAATTTATTGATTGTTTATATAAACCATAAACCCAACATTATTTATAAAAATATTTTAACTATCATATTTTCTGCTTATTGTTCAACATATTTGTGTGAAAAATGTTCCAAATATTTTTTACTTTATTTAACTCAAAAGAAATTTACATTGTAAAAGTATTAAAAGACTTCTAATTTTTATATTGAGTGTGATTTTATCATTCTCTTACTTGACAATATTTATTACACCATCCCCTATGAATGTAATATTTTTTTTGCTTCTTTGCTATACAACCACCATTGCTTTCTGTTACACTCTGTATGGCTTACCATCTTAAACATAGGCAATCTTAGCTTTGACCTTGAAGTGTGCCCCTTAGTATTGCCATCATGACCAGTAAAACTTATGTATTCCTTGCATTTGGGGGCTGAGTACTTAGCACAGGAAACTATGGAATGTAGTCAATACACAATAAATGTTCTATAAATTTTAAAAGTTTCTGTAATTAGTATGATATAACTATAGAAAATCGAAAATGTATTTTTAACAAGGGGTAAAGAAAAAGGATAAACATCATGGACTCTGTTTTAAGATATATTTGGATTCAATATGAATGTAAATAAAATACTGATTAAAAGCTAAAAAGATTTTAATTAGGTTACTTAGTTTAATAGTTTAATTTGGCAGAAACAGACAACTTGGACAAGGTTCTTTGTGTAAGCACATTTTAAATCACTAATTAAAATTTCAGATGGCAATCTGAGATTAGCAAAAGGATCTTCAAAGGTAAGCAAGATGCCCATTTATTTTATTTTAAAACTCAAAGCAATACTAAGATGTTACTTTAGATATTCCATCTAAAATAATATGAATTCTCGGATATATTGTAAGACACTTTGACCCATATACCATCTGTAATTAAATTATTTTGAACAAAAAACATCATTTAGTAGGCAAACATCACATATATTTTTATTAAAGAAGCACTTGTGTTTTTAATAGAATAGATCAAATATGTCTTCAGAGATACATTGTTTATTCCATAGGAAAAATAGACTTCCACACATGTCAAACTTATAGCAGAGTAAAATGTTATTTAGTCAGTCTGATTCAGCTAGTGCATAAACCATTTTGAGTCAAGACACCCAGAGAAGTTTCCCTATTAGGTAATTATGTATCAATATACTAAGTGGCACTACATATCAATACACCAGTTTAGTCTAATAGATAAATAGAAGTTTGGTAGACATAGTGAGCAGTCTGGAGGTTCCAAAGTTTTCTGTGCATCCTGAAGAATATAGAGCAGCACCTTATATAGTTACATAATAAGAGAAACATAATTCATTTTTTCTTATGTAAATACTTCTACCTTAAATAAAAATTTTCTACCCATGGTATGAACTGAGAAACTTATCAAATAAACAATCTAGGTGATAGAGAACCCTAGATAATTTCCAAGTTACATTCTTTGAGATTAATATAGCCAAAAATCGAGACACAACTCAAATTCCATACAACATAAATAAATGAACAAAATAAAGCTTTTTCAAGTCAGCACTGACAATAAATGACTTAAACATAGGTAGAACATAGATAAATCTTAAAACTCTTACTGAGAGCGAAGACATCAGGATAAAAAACACATTCCGATGGACTATAAATGATCGAAAGGTACAGAAATCTGATGCATGGTTCCCTGGGGTTGGAATAAAGAAAGGATGGATTAGGAAGCTACATGAGGAAATGTTCAGATATTGTGAATGTTCTCTATCATCATTGTTAGAAGCTTTCATGAGTGTACATATTTTTCAAATCCTATCGCATTTGACATCTCATTAAATCTAGTTGAATATTTGTACTCTATTTTCTGTAAATTGTGCTGCAGTAACATTGATAATTTAAAAATAAAAATTATGTATGTGTGTGTGTGCATGTGTGTGTGTGTGTGTGTGTGTGTGTGTATGTGTAATAGATATGGAGATAAATATTCAGTGTGTGACTCAGCTCCAGACCTCGGTGTTAATACAATTAACTTGGGAAAGTCACTTAAATAAACAATAATAGCAACATGAAACCCTGAGGGAAGCTCGTGGGGAATCTGATTTTCCAGAGCTGCCACATTATATTATTTAAAATGCTCCATTTTCCACACACACACACGCACACGCACACACACACAAATTATGAGACACAAAAGAATGGAAAATTATGGCCTATGCACTCACAAAAGAAACAGTCAATAGAAACTATCTCTGAGAAAGTCCAGATAATAGGCTTACTGGACAAAGACTTTAAAATCGGCTACTATAAATACGTTTAAAGAACACCACATCTAAATAACAAAGTATGAGAATAATTTCCCACCAACTAGAGACATTGTTAAAGTGATAGAATTTTTTCTTTTTTAAAATAGCAAATAAAAATTCAGGAGTCAAAAGTATAATAACTGAAGTTTAAAATAAACCTGCAGGCTTAACATAAGATTTGAGCTGACAGAATCAAAGAACTTAAACATAGTACAATTGAGATTTATCCAGTCTAAGGAGCAGGTAGTAAGATTGAAGAAAAATGGCCAGAGCCTCAGAGACTTGGAAGATATCATCAAGAATACCAACATAAGCATAATGAAAGTCCCAGAAAGAGAAGAGAGAGAGAAAATTGGATAAAAGGTTATTTTAAGAAATAGTAGCCCAAAACTTCTTACATTGGATAACAAACATTAATCTACACATCCAAGAAATAATCAACGGTATGGAATACGGGGTTTCTTTTGGAGGTGATGAAAATATTCTGAAATTGGATAGTGATGATGATTTCATGACTGAGAATATGCTGAAAACTTCTGAATCATACTCTAAAATGGTGAATTGAAATTAAGAGTATGTGGATTGTATCTCAATATAGCTATTTAATTAAAAACAAATGAGAAGGATATTCTTTATACAATGATGGTAAATCCAAGATACATTGTTAAGAGAAAAGAATGTCATGATGTGCATAATATGTCACTTTTTTGTGAAGAAGGAAGAAAATAAAAATTTGTAGTTTGATCTTACATTTAAAAATATTGTAAGGATTCATTAGAAACTAATAAATATTGTTACCTAGAGGGCTGAAGTGAGATAATGATAGTGGTGTTCAGAGACAGTATAGAAGCGAGACTTCTCTCTATATATCTTTTTATATCAATTTTAAACTATGTGTCTATATATTTTTTAAGACTTTCTAAATCACTGTAGAGATTTAGTGGGGAATCTAGTACAGGAAATAGGCTATAAATAATTAAATATTTTAAATTTTTTTTCAGTTTTTCTTTCAACTTTATTTCATAAATTGATGTTTATTTATATGGCCCAGTATGTAGCAGATAAAGGCCATTTGAATAACTAGAATCTAATGTGGGTAGGCAATTTCGAGAACATTTTTTTTATTCTTGTTGCTGTTGTTTAAAGTTTCTGTTATAGACGAGAGATGTTTTAGAATGTTGGACACATTTTCCTCTATAAACAGTGCAATGAAGAATGAAGGAATAGATCATAAATAATAGATTCAATGGTCAGCTCACAAAAGCTGACCATAATGTTGCTGAACATTATATATAACAGGATCACGAATATAAAATAGACTGAAGTATTTGCTGAATTGAGTAAAGTTTTTCAAAAGTTTAAGGGTCTAAAACAGAAGTTGGCAAACTTTGCCTTTAACAGGCCTGATGATAAATATCTTAGGCTTTATGGGCCACACTGTCTCAATTGCAATAACTCCACCCTGTCTAGAGAAGCAACCATAGACAATATATAAACATCTGGACATAGCTGTGTTCTAATAAAGCTTTTTTTTACAGAAACAGGCTCTGTGTTTGGCTCATGGGCCACAGTTTGCCAGCCTCTGATCTAGAGTATTACTTAGGGGGAGAAGAATAAATGTATTCTAGCTTTTATCATCAAGAATACATCTCCCTTTGTTCTGTCAATGAGCATGGCCTTTGTTCCATCACAAGAACAGATAGTCCCTGACTTCTATGTTTGTGGTGGTAATATAGACACATTTTAGGGAATTCATCTTAAGTTTTAGCATGAAGCAAAAATCTCTGAAATATGTTTTTTATTGTTTTGTTTTGTTTTTAAGATAGAGAAGCTGCCGAAAGAGCAAACCATTTGCCTGAATATTGTCCCCTGTGTTTCACATCTTTACTATTTGCCATGTTGCAATTGGGCATTGTAGAAAAGAACGCTAAGATGGAATTAGATCTGTTCTTATGCCACATATCAGCTAGACCTTAGAGAAAAAACTTCCTGGCCTCGGTGTCTCTAAGTGAGCTTTGGTATCCCCATGTATAATATGAAGAGACTGGACTAGAGATGATATTTAAGAGCTCTTCCAATTCTAAAGATGGCATTTTTGGGATTCTGGTAGGAGCAGACTTGTACTACGTATGCTTATTGAAACAGGAGCTTCATATATAGTTTTTCCAGAAAATTTTTGCTTTGAGAAATGTCATCATGGGTTAATAATTGTTACACATGTTTATCTTTTAGGGACTAAGATGGATCTTGTACTCAGTGCTGCAGATCATTACTTTTTTACACCATTCATATATCCAGCCACGTGGCCAGAGGATGACTTCTTCCGACAAACTATTAGTCTCTTGATTATAACAAATCTTGGTGCTTATATCCTTTATTTCTTTTTTGCAACACTGAGCTATTATTTTGTCTTTGATCATTCATTAATGAAGCATCCACAGTTTTTAAAGGTAAATGATTTTCTTAACCTATTTTTAACTATTGTTACAGTAAAAATTATAATATGATAAAATTGTGAGATTTTCAGATTAAACTTGTTATAAGCATTAAATAAAGTTTTTGAAACCAGCCCCAAATAGGTTAAATATTTTTGATAGGGCTAATCCCACCTCTCCTTCCATTGCTTTAAACAAATAAATGAATCCAAACTTTTTTTTTAACCAGAAGTCTGGTATTTTGCTAGTTACATAGACAAGAATTTCTTTGCTAATAGTGATGAATAAATAAATGCATACATCTGTGTAGTTATTTTAATGTTTGATTTTTACAAACTGAAATATGATTTTACTATGTATGTAATTTTTTGACTAAATAGAGAATCCAAACTCAATAGTTTTAGATTTTTTTTACAATTATTTTCTATTTCAGTTACTTGTATTTGTCAAATACAATCTCAAATAAAAGTCTCCATAGACTGTAAAAAAAAAAAAAAATAGAGAAGGCTAAGAATGGAAGTTAACTATGAAAGAAATGAGTATTCAGTAAATAGAAATTTAGAATAAACATTTTGTGAGAAGGAGAAAAAATTTGAAAATTTAAAATATTTATTGCTTTTGCTTGGTACAAAAGGAATATTTTTCTTACACACTCATCCCTACATATTAACATTATAATAGAAAAAAAATTAGAGGTAAGCTCCTTTATATAGAAGATTTAAAAAATCCAATCCAAAACAATTTTATGCTAGTTTTGCTAAATCTAGATTTTGTGATTTTTAAGTATTGGAAATTTTATTTTCAGAATCAAGTCTATCGAGAGATTATGTTTACTGTCCAGGCATTGCCATGGATAAGTATTCCCACTGTTTCATTGTTCCTGCTGGAGTTGAGAGGGTACAGCAAATTATATGATGATATAGGAGAGTTTCCAAATGGTAAGTAAATTATAAAGAATGTCAGGCACAGATTGTTTTTTCTAAGGAACCAAATCTGCCTCTTTTTTAAAAAATAATTATAAATTGTTCAGTTGTTTTGAATGTTCTGCTTTTATGCATTTATATCTTGCCACATGTATGCATTTCTTTAAGTTTATCTATGAATTTTAAAGTCTTTGTTTTAGATGAAATTGTGCCTGGGGGAAGATTGGTGTGATCAGGTATAGGCCTTTGCATTTGTTTCCTATTATCTGTATTGAATTCAGCCTTCTAAAAAAATAACTCAAGTAGTACATGACAATTACAGAAAATCAGAAAATATATTTCTCTTAGCAATATATGTGCCCACATTTTTATGTCTATAAATATTGGCATTATATAGTATATTAATTATAGTATCTCATTGTATAGATATCCATAGTTTATTTAAATGATCTCTAATTTTTAGACCTTTAGATTTTTTATTTTTGTCTACTGAAAGCAGTTCTGCTACGGCAACTGAACTAAATTTTTGTGAAATTCTGAAATCATTTCAAGGTACATTTCCAGTATCTAGAATTAGAAAGATAATAGTTAACATTTATTGAATGTTAATAAGTACCAGCTATAGTTTTAAGCTTTTCACATGTATCTATCCATTTTATTCCACATCAGTTCTATGAAGTAAGAGCTATTATGTTCCTTTTATAGGTGAGTAAATTAAGCGTACAGAGCATTTCAGTGACTTGCCCAGGTTACTCAACAATTACATGGTATTTCTGGTACTGGAACCTAGGCTTACTGGCACTATCAACCTTGCTTTCTAAGTAAGAGGTTAGTTAGTTAAAAGAAGGAACAAAAATAATGCACTAAGATGATAAGCAGATAGGATTATGAGTAAAAATAAAAGGAGAAAGGCATTCTAGATACTTGGAATAGTATGAGTAAAAGTACAGAGGTAAGACTTTCAAGATGTTGGGAAGACATTGAGTAAACCAGCCTCATTAATACAGGAACAGATGAGATTTGGAAAGATCAGAAAGGGCTGAGTTATGGAGTAAATGCTTGAATTAAGGTATTTAGTGGAAAATAAAGTTTTAAGCAGGAAGATAATGTATAAAGATGTGTTTATGAAGGAAAATCATTAGATAGCATTATTCTGAGAGATTTAAATAATGTACCTCAGGAATATCCTTTTTCTGTCTCATAAATATCTTAATAATTTAATTAGGAAATATTTTAGGTAGGATACTTCCAAGTTTTTATATGAGAGAAAGGAGGAAATGAGCAGATTCCAGAGAGTCAAGGATTAATTTATGTTGTGTTGAATTAGCCAAAACAGATCATTTATATTGTTTCAGTCTAGGATCATATTTTGGATTTAAATGTAAAATGTAAATGCTGATCCTGGAACTGAATCTTGATTCTGCTGTATACCCTGTTATCTCTTCTAGGCTGGTTTCAACTCATTGTTAGTGTACTGTCCTTCCTCTTTTTCACTGACATGCTGATCTATTGGATTCACAGAGGCCTTCATCATAGACTTGTATATAAGGTAAAATCATTTGCAGGGGAAAGAGAAAATATATATACATTTTTCAACAGTATATGTTTATAAATTCTGTTCTCTATTTATAAGAATTTGCTCTATATTAAATACCTAAGTAACCATAGTCATGACAGGTACCAGGTACGTTTCATGTTCTTTATGGGTTTGGAATGTTTGTTTTAAAATTTTACTGTTTACTTGGGGATGAGGAAGGAGAGCATTTTATAAAGTGATTCTGGTAATTTCAAAGGGATTTTTTAGTTAGTCCATTTCTACAACATGGGTATGATAAACTAAGTTTAATGTTGCATGGGATAATGTCGGTGGTACTAATGGTGTTCTTTTCTTCTGTAGCACATACATAAACCTCATCACATCTGGAAGATTCCTACTCCATTTGCAAGTCATGCTTTTCACCCCGTGGATGGCTTCCTTCAAAGTCTACCTTACCATATATACCCTTTTATCTTTCCATTGCACAAGGTAGTTTATTTAGGTTTATACATCTTGGTCAATATCTGGACAATTTCTATTCATGATGGTGATTTTCGTGTCCCTCAGATCTTAAGACCATTTATTAATGGCTCAGCTCATCATACAGACCACCACATGTTCTTTGACTATAACTATGGTCAGTATTTCACATTGTGGGATAGAATTGGAGGCTCGTTCAAAAATCCTTCCTCTTTTGAAGGGAAGGGACCACTTAATTATGTGAAGAAGATGACAGAAGAAAAATACAACAGCCATGCAGGAAATGGTTGTAAAAATGAAAAATTATTCAATGGTGAGTTTACAAAGACTGAGTAAATTACTGCCCAATTATTAAATGTTTTTTAATAAGGAAAAATAATCCATATATAGCCAAAAGACATAGTAATTAAATGCATGTGGTTGCTGCTGAGGAATGATCATAATGGTAGATCAAGGGAAGGTGCTATGAGCACCATGATTTTAACCTCATGCTGAAAATACTAGATGTTGGTCTAAGGGACAACTTATATTTTTCTTTCCAGCAGATCTATGATTTGTATAGTCTCAACAACCATTTTTAAAAAGATAGAGAATAAATTATTGAGGGGAGTAGGTTATGCCCTTTTGTCTTACTCTGCCATATTCATAAAGAAAAATTCATTGTGTTTAATAATACCAAGACTAAGCACCATAATGAAGAAATACTAACATAAAGATGGTTCCTTGTTTTAGGAATGATTATGTCTGCAGTGTTGGTACAGTTTGTTCAAGTGGAAACATCAGTGTGACAAAAAAAATACTGATGTAACATATTAGTGGCTTCCTAAATGGCCTAATTAATAGTAAGTATAATTAGATTATCACTTCCTACACATAGGAAGCTTATACTCTGAGAATATTGAAAATTCACATTTTACTGATGATTAAATAAATTAGAATAAAAAAATTGATACTGCCATGATTTAATTTAGATCTGAGATTATTAAAGAGTTTGATGGTTATTATTTAAAACGATCATTTAATAAGTATGAAAATGTGAATATATAAATATGTGAATCTGAATATACAGTAGTCTCCTCTTATTCATGGGGGATATGTTCTAAGACCCCCAGTGGATGCCTGAAACTGCAGATAATTTCAAATACTATATATACTATGTTTTTCTACCCATACATACCTATGATAAAGTTTAGTTTGTAAATTAGGCACAGTAATAGATTAACAACAATAACTAATAAACTATTATCGTTAGAGAAATTTGATGCCCAAATAATATCTTTGACACTACTGATTTTTAAATTGATGCACTGCACTTTTGATTCTTCAACGTCACAGACCTATAATTTTCGATAGGGAATAGTTGCCAAATATTTAGACATATCACTGAAGAATAGTTTTGAAATATTCTCTCACGTCTCCCTCACTTTTCCCCACTTCCTCTGCAAAAAAATTAACAAATATTTTCATAATGAAATGTACATAACATAAATATTGGCAAAACATGGTTTGTGTAGGCATTCTTTAAGCTATTTATATAAAATCAGTAAAGGTTTACTATGACCGTTAAGCTGTATCAGGTAAATATTGTAACAACACAAAGTATTCTTTGTACAAATTTTATACTAATTTGAAACCACAGAAATAATTTGGGTTGTCAAAACTGATTTAAAATGTCCCCAAATGCTCAATGTCAAGGAGAGAAAGAGAGAAATGGGTATTACATTCTTTTTATGTCATTTTATTAGATTTGAGTAATTTAGTAAGAAAGAGACCAGTCATAAATTTAATGCTTGGGATCTATATAAAATGTATTTTTCTCTTTGAGTTACTATTATGTTTGTCTTCCTTATATATACCAGTATACTAATTAGTATTTTTAACTGGTAAATGCAGCTGAGTGCTTTTTCAATAATCATCCTCACCCTCTAGTATTCCACTTTGCCCAAGAAAAGGAAGGAAATTAAATAAACTTTGTTGCTTAATAATAATGGCAGCAACTATTTATTGAGGTTTTACTCTTGATCAGGCACTGTTACAAGTACTTGACATGAGGAAACTAGGACCCAGTTGTGCCACTTTTCCGAGAGTATTTCTCTCAAGTATGGATATGTTTCTAGTCAGTGGGCAGCCTTCCACAGTAATTCTGAGACCCAGGCTCCTTCCATCTTGGGGAGCTGCCTTTGCCTCAGTCTGCAATCTTCTTTGTTGAAGGAGCACATAAGGCAAGAGGGAAAAGTACACAAAGAAAATGTGTAGATCAGCCCTGGAAGTCATACATATCTCTTTCGTATGTTCCTTTGAAAACTCAGTCACATGGCCCATCTGACTGAAAGAGATTCAGAGAGTCAGGGAAATGTCTCTAATCGTATAGCTGGGAGGATGAGGTAACCAGTTTCTCAAACCATTGCTAGTTTGCCATACTCATAATTTATTCCCCTCTTTTTGAGGGTCCTGGCAAAGGTGTTGAAGAGACGTATGAGTTCAAAAGTATTTCAAGTTATCTATGAACTGGTTATCTTCGTGTCCTTAATTCTATAACTCCAATTATAAGTGTTGAAGTTTCCTCTAGATTCTTATTACCGTGTAGCTAATAGAAAAGATAGGATGTAATTTATGGAGAGAGAGAAGCTTCCTCAAAAGTAATCAAACTATTCTCTGCCTTCCCACCATTTTTCTTAAAGTCTGATCTTATTAAGCAGTATGATTTTAAGCAGTCCTAACATTATTTGTAGACTATCATCACATTCTCCTAGTCTCCATTAGAGAAATTAAGAGAATATTCATGGAATTGAGGATTTAAATTCTTTCCTACAGGAATATCTGATGAAGGACTTTTTGCCTTGACTTTGAAACCTTTTATACTTACAGGACAGAAAGGGAAAATCAGGATTATATTTTCCACTTTTATGTTAGAAATTGAGAAATGGATGGAGGTGGTACAAAACCCAGAGACCTTTACTGAATCCTTATCTTTCTCCCTGTGTCTCTCTTCCTGTCTCCCTGTGTGTGAATGCTGTAATTTCCTACTTCTCATTGCCCTGTATCATGTTACTTTTTCCTCCCATCTTCAAGAAGTCAAGACAAATTTGGGAGAAAATTGTGAGTTTAGTTTTTCTTACACAGAGTGAACAGTGTAGGCAGATTATTTATATAGAGATGATGTCTGGGAGGAAAATGGAAAGCAGGGAGACAAATCAGAACAAAGATATTTGTGATTAATTCAGATGGAAGAAAAGTTTGAGGCTCTGAGATTGATTGTCAAAGAGAGCATGAAAAATAGATGTCTAAAGAAACAAACCAACTTAAAGGAAAAAGAACTTCCTTTCCTTATCTAATTTCAAATTCAAAACACTTGACTGGCAGCCTTATATCATCATTTATTGCTTTCTATCATTGTTATGCATGCCCTATTTATTCTAGACCCCCAGATTCCTTCAAAGTAGAGACCATTTTTGAATCACTGTTGGGTTAAAAGATGTGTTCCTACAGAATGTCCAGGATATGGTTGAAGTTCCATAAATGCTTTGCTAAATGAGTTAATGAAATGATAGAAATGCCATTCCCGTCAATAAATATTTAATGAATCTCTATTAGGTGCCAAACACTACACGAAGTGTAAATATTAATTCCAGACTCGTAAAAGCTGTCTTTTTAGCCAACACTTTGTTTTTTCATTTATTTATTAGCTGATATTTGGTGTGTTCCTTGGGGGAGTCACAAGGAGAACTAAAGGGAAATCAAAACAGTCCCTACATCAAGGATAGACTGTCCTTTTTTTCTCACTCAAAGTCTTGCTTTCCACTGGAAACAAAACCCACCCTGGATACAGATCATATGTGAATCAGTGATATGAGTACTGATTAGAGGGGTGAATGTGTACAGTTATTATGTAACATAGTGCTCTGGATACAAAAAAAGATCATAATTATTGATTGATTATACCAAGTAATGACAAACCTAGGAGGATAATCTATAACTTTGACTGGAAGGTAATTTATCTCAGAAGAATTGTAGAAGCTAAGAGTTTTGAAGTTAAACAATTTTGAATCCTGGCTCTGCCACTTACTATGATTGCATGATCTTGGTCTCTCTATCTGTAAATTAATGAAAATACTACCTATGTAATAAGATTAAGTAAATTAGAAACACTCAATTAAATGTCAATTCACGTAAATGGTGCTTAATGCTGCTTTCTAGGTTCAGTGATTATTTTATTACACGTAGGGTAGGCCCTCAGTAGAAACCAATTGCGGGGAGAAAAATGCCTAGATAATGCCAATTTTACCTTAAAATTGGAAGGTGAAAAACATGAGGTGAACAAGAATGGGGGATGTAGAGGAAAATCACATCAGTAAAACTAAAATTGCTACATTATTTACTGTAAATTTTCTTTGTAAAAGTTGATTTATTGTTAAGCAATTTTATTTTTAAAATGCATTGCTATAAACCATAAGACCAGTCTATAAGATTTTGTGTGTTTTTTTAAAATTTTTTTTTTATTAAGTTTTTGGGGTAACACTGGTTAATACAATTATATAATTTTCAGGTATACATTATAATTTGACATCTATATATTCTAGTATGTGATTACCACCCAAAGTCCAGTTTCCTTCAGCTACCACATATTTTATCCCCTTTACTCACTTCAGCTAACCCCTACCCTCCTATATTTGATTCCCTTTACCCCATCTACCTCCCCTCTCCTCTCTCACCCCCTACCCTCTGGTAACCACTCTTCCATTGTCCATGTCCCTGAGTCTCTGTTTCTCCTGTTCATTTGTTGCTTTTAGGTTTATATCCCACATATAAGTGATGTCATGTGATTTTCAACTTTTTCTGTTTGGCTTATTTTGCTTAGCATGATTATCTCGAGATCCATCCAGGTTGTCGCAAATGGCAGTATTTCATCTCTTCCATTGACTGGCTAAAGAAGCTGTGGTAAATATATTCCATTGTATATATTTACCACAGCTTCTTTAGCCAGTCATCTACTGTAGGACACTTAGGTTGCTTCCATGTCCTGGCCACTGTGAATAATGCTGCTATGAACATCGATGTGCAAATATCGTTTTGGATATGGGTTTTCAAGTCTTTGGGGTAAATGCCCAGTAGAGGAATTGCAGGATCATATGGTAGGTCAATTCTTAGGTTTTTGAGGAACCTCCATACTGTTTTCCATAGTGACTGTACCAATTTGCAGTCCTACCAGCAGTGTATAAGGGTTCCTTTCTCTCCACATCCTCTCCAACATTTATTATGACTTGTCCTGTTGATTATAGCTATTCTAACAGGTGTTAGATGGTATCTCATTGTGTCATTATAGCTATTCTAACAGGTGTTAGATAGTATCTCATTGTGGTTTTGATTTGCTAATAGCTAGCAATGTTGAACATTTGTATGGCCATTTGTATGTCCTCTAGGGAGAAGTGTCTGTTCAGGTTCTCTGCCCATTTTTTGATTCTATCGTTTGCTTTTTTGTTGTTGTTATTGAGTCGTATGAGTTCTTTCCAAGGTCCTTGAATTTAGTTCCTATGTTTTCTTCTATGCATTTTATGGATTCCGGTTTTATATTCAGATTTAATTTGGTGTGTGGTGATAGACAACAGTCTAGTTTCATTCTTTTGCAGGTGGCCTTCCAGTTTTCCCAGCACCATTTATTGAAGAGGCTTTCCTTTCTCCACTGTATGTTTTTGGCTTTTTTGTCTAAAATTACTTGCCCATATAAACATGGGTTTACTTCTGGACTCTCGATTCTGTTTCATTGTCCTATGTGTCTGTTTTGCTGTCATACCATGTGGTTTTGATTACTGTCGCTTTGTAGTGTAATTTGAAGTTGGGCAGAGTGATGCCTCCAGCCTCATTCTTTTTTCTCAGGATGGCTTTGGCAATTCGAGGTCTTTTGTGCTTCCATACAAATCTGATGATTTTTTTGTTCTATTTTTTTTTTTAAATGCCCATGGGATATTTATGGGGATTGCTTTAGGTAATATGGTCATTTTAGCAATGTTGATTTTTCTAATCCAAGAACACAGAATATCTTTTCATTTCTTTGTATCTTCAATTTCTTTTAATAGGGTCTTGTAGTTTTCATTATATAGGTCTTCACATGTTTCGTTAAATTTATTCCTAGGTATTTCATTCTTTTTATTGCAATTGCAAAGGAAATTATTTTTCCCACTTCTTTTTCTGACACTTTGTTATTAGAGCATAGGAACGCTGTGGATTTTTGAACGTTGATTTTGTATCCAGAGACTTTACTGTATTTGCTTATTGTTTCTAGTAGTGTTCTTGTGGAATCTTTAGGGTTTCCTATATAATTATGTCATCCGCAAATAGAGACACTTTGACTTCTTTGTTTCCTGTTTGGATGCCTATTATATCTTTCTCTTGCCTGATTGCGCTTGCTAGGACCTCCAATGTTATATTGAATAACAGTGGCGATAGTGGACAGCCTTGCCTTGTTCCTGATCTTAGAGGAAAGGTTTTTAGTTTTTCACCATTAAGTATGATGTTGGCTGAGGGCTTGTCATATATGGTCTTTATTATGTCAAGGTACTAGTGTTTTTTTAATCATAAATGGGTGCTGTATCTTGTCGAAGGCTTTTTCTGCATCTATTGGTATGATCATATGATTCTTTTAATTTGTTTATGTGGTGTATCACATTAATCGATTTGTATATGTTGGACCATCCCTGTACCCCTGGGATGAAGCCCACTTGATCATGGTGTATAATCTTTTTAATATGTTGCTGTATTCAGTTTGCTAGTATCTTATTTAGGAGTTTTGCATCTGTGTTCATGAGAGATATTGGCCTGTAGTTTTCTTTTTTGTGTGTTACCTTTACTGGGTTTTGGTATAAGAGTAATATTAGCCTCATAAAATGAGTTGGGAAGTATTGCCTCCTCTTTGATTTTTTTGGAAGAGTTTGAGGAGAATAGGTATTAAATCTTCTTTGAATGTTAGGTAGAATTCACTAGTGAAGCCATCTAGTCCTGGACTTTTACTTTTTCGTAGGTATTTGATGATTGTTTCAATTTCCATAATGCCGATCGGTCTATTTAGATTTTCCAGTTCTTGATTCAGTTTAGGAAGGTTGTATCTTTCTAAAGCCTTTTTCATTTCTTCTAGGTTATTAACTTTAGTACTGGTCCATTTCTTCTAGGTTATTAAATTTGGTGTTATATACTTTTTCATAGTATTCTTTTATGATCCTTTGTATTTCTGCCCTGTCATAATTTCCCCTCTTTCATCCCTGATTTTGTTTATTTGTGTCCTTTTTCTTTTTTCTTTAGTGAATCTAGCCAGGGGTTTGTCAATTTTATTAACCTTCTCAAATTACCAGCTTTTTGTTATATTTATTTTTTTATTGATTTTTTTGTTTTCAATTTTATTTTTGCTCTAAATTTGACTATTTCTTTTCTTCTGCAGGCTTTAGGCCTTATTTGTTCTTCCTTTTCTAGTTTTTTAAGATGAAGTGTTAGGTTGTTTATTTGAGCTTGTTCTTGTTTTTGGAGATGGGCCTGTAATGTTACGAACTTTCCTCTTATCTCGCTTTTGCCGTGTCCCAAAAGTTTTGATATGTTGTACTATCATTATCATTCATTTCTATGTATCTCTTGATCTCTTTTTATTTCTTCTCTGACTCAGTTATTCTTCAATAGCATGTTCTTTAATCTCCACATATTCGTGGTTCTTCCTGATTTCTATTTGCAGTTGATCTCTAGTTTTAAAGTATTATGATCAGAGAATATGGTTGGTATGATTTCAACCATCTTATATTTGTTGTTGAAGCTATTTATGTGTCCCAGTAAGTGGTCGATTCTGAGAATGTTCCATGTGCACTGGAGAATAATGTATAATCAGCTGTTTTGGGATGGAAGGCTTTGTATATGTCAATTATGTCTAGTTGGTCTAATGTATCATTTAAGGATGTTATTTCTTTATTGGTTTTCTGTTTGGATGATCTCTCCATATCCATATATGTTAATGTTTTTGTCTGTTTCTCTTTGTTAAATACCTATTAGAATTACTAAATGCTAGGGTAGATAGATATATGTTTAGATTTATAAGAATCTGTCAAACTGTTTTCTGAAGTGGTTGTACCATTTTGCATTCCCACTACCTATTATGAGAATTTCCATTTCTTCCACATTCTCACTAATAGTATCATTGGTTTTTATTTTTTGCCCTTCTAGTGGGTATCAAGTATTCTCTTATTATGGCTTAATTTGTATTTTCCTATGACTAATGATGTTAAACACCTTTTTCCCTGCATTTTGGTTGTTTTGTGTTTCTTTTGTGAAGCATTTGTTCAAGTCTGGCCATTTTTTAAACTATGTTATTTTCCTTTATATCATTAATTTATAAGAATTCTTTATATATTGGCACAAATATGTTATCAGATATTTGTACTACAGACATTTAATCTGTGGCTTGCCTTTTCATTTCCTAAATTGTGTTTTTGATTTTAAAAATGATTTAATTTTGATTAAGACCAATTTATCACACTTTTTGTCTTTCATGATTACTGAAGTTTATGTCCTAAGAAATCTTTGCCTATCCCAAAGCAAGTCTGAAAATGAATTCAAATTCTTAATAAATAAAAGGCTTTTCATATTTTTATTTTTCTTTGTCAGTTTTGATACACTGTTTTCAAGAAATTTGTTCATTTAAGTTATCAGGTTTGTTACCATAAAGTTGTTTGTAACATTCTCCTATTATCCTGTCAATGTCTGTAGGATCTGTATTTTTATTCCTAACACTGATCATTTATGTATTCTTTTTCTTGGCAAGTCTAGCTGAGAAAATACCTATTTTATTTTATTTTATTTTATTTTATTTTTTAACAACCAACTTCGGCTTTGTTGATTTTTCTATGTTGCTTTTCTTCAATTTCATTAGTTGTCTGAGTATCTTTTTATTGTCTTTTATTATTTTTGGCTTCAATTGCTCTCTTTTTGCCCACTAACTTCTTAAGGTAGAAGCTCAGATCATTGATTTAATTTTTTTTTTCCTTTATAACATTTAAAGCCACAAAATTCCCTCTAAGGCTTGCTGTGGCTATATTCCACAAATTTTGATATGTTGTGTGTTCATTATTATTCAGTTCAAATTATTTTCTTTTTTCAATGAGATTTCTTCTCATTGGTGGGCTGGTAGTGTGTCAACTTTACTAGGCCAGAACTGTGTTTCTCAGAATGACTTTCCTGCATAGTTCTAATTTGGCATGGCTACACATGTCATTTTGTGTGAAATTTAGAAGGTGGAAGTAGAGCATTAAATATGTTACTTTTTATGCTCGGGAAAATGAAGTAGTCTGTGAAACACTATTGCTGTTTATTCATGTTGTCACTTGTCTGCTGTCTCATCTGGTTGACTTAACGCAGCATCTGAGCCCACAGCAGCTGGAGTTCCTCTCTGATACCCTTCAGCTTCTCCAAATTCTGGACTTGATGTATGATTAAC